CATATGAATAGAAATACCCCCACGAACTATTTAAATTCCTTTGTAGATTATTTTCTTGGCCATTTAAAACAGTTGAAATTGTTCCACAAAAGACTTGATTAATCGAAATTTAGCGTTGTTTTAGCTCAGTTCCAATTAGCAGCCTGTTGGCCGCTTGCCTCATTTTCACACTCAGTGGCCAATTTGGGGCATGCACCTTTGTGGCACCCGGTTTCTTCCGCATGTGCTGGCAAACGACCTTGTCCGTGTGCAGGACAAGGGATGGGTGGAGGGTTGCGGTTGGGCATCTTGTTTAATTCAAAGTGCCAATTTACGGTTACATTTACCCACAATGCACGGCTCATAAATTAGCGAGCATCTCGCGGCGGCCGCGAATCGCAATCGCAATTTCAATTGCAATTGCAATTGTGGCCCAAATGGTTTTGATATGCTTGGAATTTTCCATTTCCCGGCCGCGCCTCACCTGCCATAAACACACAAATTTTTGATTTTAATAGCTGCAACGGCTTTCGCCTGCCTGTTTAGATGAAAAGTTAATACGACGGCTGCTTTGATGATGCAGCAAAGAGGAACTCGGGTCCCGGGGGATCAGAGCCAGATGCTGGGGCATCTGCAGGTGCAGCTGCAGCTGCAGGTGTTGGGGCAGGAGCTGATGCTGTAACTGCACAAATATGCGCAGGTAATGTGATTGAGATTTTCATCTAATTTTTGGGGCTCCGTTCCGCTGGCTGTATTTCCACTCAGTTTTTTTTTTTTTGTTTATTATAGCGCCCAGCGGGGCGACGATGACAAAGCCGTTGAAATTTTTATATTATCATTACAAATTGGACTATCATGTGTGCAAAAGCAGCTAACCAGACTGAAAATATAAATTAAGCGCGCATAAATAAACAGCTTGCCGGAAAACGGCGAAGAAAACTTGATTGGCTAAGTGACTGACTCAGAGCCGAACTGGAAGGCACATGCTGCTCCCATTTCCCCAACACGTATTCGCCCTGCTGCACGTCATAGTGTAGCAATTCTTCCAAATACAATTAAAACGCCATAAACTTCTTTACGCACCTATCGATGGCATAAACTATTTCCAACAAACATAAACTATATGCCAGACTATTTATTTGGACAATCGTCACTTCGAAGCACATGCTCCCAAGGACAACAGCGGCAGCAGCAAGAGCAACAGCAGCAACTGATTTTACATTTTGTAGTCTGCTACCGAATGTGCTCACTTTGTTGTAAATAAAACGCCCTTCTATGCGATTTTCATAAAATCCTTATTTCAAAGGCAATGACAGTAAGTGTGAAAGTAATCGTAAAGAAAAGCAGAAAGAAAGTGACAAAAGAGAGGAGGAAATAGACAGGGAGCAAAAGAGAGAGATAGAAAAACAGAGAGTGAAACAGAGGGAGAGAGAGGGACAAAAAGAGTAACTGATATAATGAAATAATGCGAGCTACGGGGAATAAAGCTAAGAAATTGAGGCGTAGGAAAGCTAGAGAGAAGTGATCGAGTGAGTGATCGAGAGTGTGTAAATTATATATTAACTATAACAAATAAACAATACTCTAGAGTAAAACATATAACTAAAATATTGTAAAAATCATGTTGACACTTGAAGCAATGAGAATTGCATAGAAGGGCAAGCAGTATATAAAATCATTTAGACTTATATTGCGGATAAAATTGCATCTATCTGCCGAATCTGTTAAAAAAATTCGTTTCTCTCTCAAAAACCGCACCTATGGAAATTAACCATATATTAAAGATTGCCTTGGCTTCCCATGACTAAAGTTTACTTTCCAAATAGTTTCTATCTTTCTGTGTTGCGTTTACGTTTATATGGTCGTAATACTTATTGTATTACATAAATGGGAATGCAATAAAACCTATTGCCTGCTGTTAGGCGCCCAATAAGTCGCAATTCGATTTTAATAAACAAAGCTCGTCAAGCGGAATGGCCGGGAAGGGGGAGGGTCAGGGTACTTGAGCCGACATTTGTCAGGCCTAGACCCATTTGCTGGGGCCCAATGTCGGCCCATGTGGAGCGAGTTTTGGTCGTTTCATTTGTGTGCTTCCCTGTCATATCGCTCCGTTCATCGGCAATAACCAAAAACTAATAGCAATAAATGTTGGGATTTTTGCCCAGAATAGGCTGTAAAAACTGCGCTGCCTCCACGGTGTGTGTTTAACAACTTGTTAACATATCGACTGTGTGTGTGTGTGGATGTGTGTGTGTGCGCAAATCAGGCAATCGACTGTAAGCCACAAACCAAATAAACACCCTTGACATTCCCAGCCACAGGCGGCAAATTTGCGGTTGTTTTCCATAATAAAATTTGCAAATTGCGGTTAAAAATGTTGCATGCATTCATTTTTGCAACGCTTTAGCAGATATTTCTCTAGAGTAATTTATTGACGATTTCATAAAAAATGACTGATTTAGATAATTAGCTCGTTTTTGTTGAATTTTAGACAATATTATTCTATGCATTTGGCACTTGGCGCGCATAAAGCGCCAGTCCAATAAGATTTATGGCCAGAAATACTGTGGAACACGCCTTTCGGCAGATGTTTCGCATACAATCGATTCAAAAGAATCAAAAGTCTCACATTATTTTAAACGGAAACGCACATAAAACTGAAAAAAAAGATCGCACACAATTAAATTTATTAACCATTTTATTCAAATAGACGGCCACGCGGCGTATGCGCAATATGTGCGCTTTGTGTTTAATATAAACATAAACACGTATCAAATTCGCGTAAAATTGAAATCTTGGAAATTGTTAAGAGCCAGCAGGTAATTCTACGCGTAAATTGATTATGTGCTTATACTAGGTAAATGTGCTTTAAAAGGAAAACAATAAAACTTGTTCAAATTAAAACCCGGCTAGACATATCCCTTTGGCAGATATGTGAGATAAGTGAAGCTCATTAATGTTTAGCAGGAATAAAATATCTGCGAAACAGAATATTTGACCACATTCAACCGATTGTCTCTATGGCATATAGTGAAACGATGTTGATAAGATTTGGCGTTTTATAAGGATCAGGTCAGGTTATCTAAAACTTGATTTTCGAACGATTATTCCCATGACAGCAATAGCATATAGTGATTCGATCCAGCCAGTTCCCAAATATATATTGTCTGCATCGGAAAGATGGACCTATGCAAAGCTGCAAGACTTGCTGGCAAAGAAACAGACAGACGGACGGATGAACAGATGGACAGATAGCAAACGGACTGATGGAACGATGGACAGACAGACGGATGGACAGACGGACGGATGGACAGACGGACGCTTGGACAGTTGGACGGACGAATGCACGGACATGGATATATCAAATTGGCTGTTGAAGTTGATCTATAATATATATATCTTATATAGTTGGAGAGACGCCTCCTTCCATGTCTCTGTCACACATTTGATGTTCAAATAATACCCTCAGTTTGGCTATAATTATTATTTACTGACAATTGTGTCTTTAATTGTATTTAATAAAACTTTATTTAGATTACACATAAAGAAACTATTAAGAGCTTCAAAAGCCTGTCTGCCAAGACCTGAAAGTCTTGTTGGTTTTTTATATGGAATATGAGAAAACTTCAAGTATAATCATTTTACTTTGTTCTATTGAACTATTCTTAATTTAAAAGCACAGAAGAGTAGCTTGATTTGCGTCTATCACAATTTTTGTAGTTTATGAAATAAATATTATATCAAATAATTATTAGCTCTTTAAATTTGCCACAAATTAAACACAAAATGTCATTGCATTCGTGCCACACACACACACACATTCGCAGGCTGCAAGACTGTAACATTGGAATTTATATTGTTCTCTCACATTATTATGCTGTTATTTAGACATATATATATGTATATATAACATATTTCAGCAAAGTTTTTGTCTTTGTAAAGCCGCCCCGCTCCGAAATTCGGATGTCGTCAGATAATCGTGTTGCGTGTTTTGCCGCCGTGTGGTGCAGGCCCGAAAACTTTTGCCACGTAAATGATTTGTTTTGTCAATTATTTTGTTAGCCCAACATGCAACAAACAGGCCCGCAGGAAAGCCAAAACTAACCAACAACAACAACAACAAGAGGAAGAGGAAGAGGAACAAGAGCAATGAGAGGCGCCTCAGCTGATAAGATCAAAACAATTGTGGGCCAGATATATTGCTGCATGCAACTGCCGACCGCAACTGGGCGGGATATTGAACTTTTAATTGAGTGGGCGTGGCCAGGGCAGTAAAGTATTTGATTTGTGTGTGTTAGCTTTAGACGTAATTGAACCGTGACGGATCAATCAGGCCAAAATACTTATGAAGTGCTGCGCCTGTTTAAACAAGTGCGTCCAGTTGCATAAATATTTATGGCACCCAGACGGAGGAGGAGGCAAATCAAAGCGGCTGCTGATTATTTATTGTTAACGGCCAGACGAGATGGGGTCTGGCTACCGGCTCCGGGTCTGGGCTCCGGAATAGCTCTTGGTATTGCGAATGGGCCCGCGAATGCTTCTGTGACTGACGCAATGGAACACAATACAATAACAATAACAAAAACAAAACAAAATACGAAAAACGCAAAGAAAACTAAAAGAAAACACAAAGAAAAACACATGTGCATTATTGTATTGTGTGTGCTCTCAATTTAAATTTCAAAAATTTAATTTAATGCACAGTTGTTAAGGGGCGTTAGCCAAAAACAAAATAACAAAACAAAAATACAACAAATTGAGAATTATTCGTGTCGCAAGCAGAAATGAAACGAGAAGCCCCAAAATTACTGAACAGGCAATTGAGTGATGGATGGATTGGCCATGGCATCTCTTGCCTGCACATAACATTTCCCAATTTCCCATTTCCCCCCCCCCCCCCCCCCCCCCTTTTTTTTGGAAATTTTTTGCGCCTGTCTTTAATTAACATGCGCGGTTTGTGTTGCTGTCACAAACAAGGCGAGATTTCTGCTTTTTTTTGTTGAATACAAGTAGAGGTTTACCTTTTTGTATGAAATGCCAGCTGTTGGAATCAGTAGAAAACCCCAATCACAAAATTTTCAAAAATGTTTAACACTTTTCATCAATCAATCGGCAATTTTATTTGTGCAACGGGCAATCGCTCAATTCATTGCACACCAAAAATTTCTCAATATTGCGACACTAATTGCACTTATTTCAGACGCAAATCGCGATAATTGAAAATAACACAGAAACGCCTCAAAAATGCTTTATTTGAAATATTTGACTGAGAACTCGTGCGAAAAACACGTCCGTATCAGCGTGCAGGCCGTTGCCAACTGATGCCGATATTCGAACCGTTTCGGAACAAATGCGAACGCGAAACGACAGCCCAGCCGAAGGGCTGTTCGCGTTCGGCTGCGCAGCGTTCGGCTTTGATCGGGCGTTGTGCGCGAAGCAGAAAAGCCGGCAAAACAAAATGTAAATAACAGTTCTGTGTGTTCTCTGTGTGAGTGTGTGTGTGTGTGTGTGTGTGTGAGTTGGCGAGTGGGGGCATGCGGGCTAGTTGCCGGCTTTTGGTTTCAGCTTGAGCTTTTGAGCAGATTTTATGCTCTTACCGTACGAAATGGCAGCCGATGTAGCGTCAGGTGACGACTAACCTAACCCAACCCAAACGAAAACCCACTCGACCCACCCCCACACGCCTTGTTTGCTTTGCGGCTTTTCGGGGTTGCTAGAGTGTGCCAAAGTATGTGTGTACGTGTGCGTGTGTGTGTGTGTGCGTTTGTTTGTATACACTTCGGCTTGGCCTGCAATTGGCGGGAAACTTTGTGGATGCTATTCATGTTGTCTCTTTATAGCTTAGCAACATTTTCTATACTTAATGGCAACACAATTCATAATTGGCCCAAAGCTAACGCACAATTGTTTTGGCCATAAATATGAACAGTTAGGAGTGTTTGCTTTTTACCAAAAACCACATTTTATATCAATTTAAGGCGCATATCACGTGTACTTTCTTGCTTGGCAACATTTTTCACATGTTGCCAGCGACAAAGGCATTGCTCATGCGCCCTGTTACCACCTCCTCGTTCATGGAATTCTTCGGCTATTTTTTCTTCTTATTATGTGCCTCCCCCGCCCCCTCCCCACCTCTTCTTCTTGCAATGCAACAACACGAAACGAGCGACCGCCTAACGCCTCCAAAGTGACAACCTTTCAGTTTTATCGTAGCCTCAGTTCGTGTGTGTGTGTGTGTGTGTGTGTATGTATGTAAATAATGTAACAGTAAATTAGCGTGTTTGACACAGAGTGGGCGTGGCCAAGCGATGCGTGCGTTGGGCAATCTGTTTAACGTTGACTTTTCAACTTTTTAAAGGCCAAACCACATTGATTGCCCCACAATTGAGTGGTTCAACGATTTGTGAAGCACTTTGAAGTGCATTAGATGAAAAGATGCTCGGAAAATTGTGCTTGATAAATATTTAAATGGTAGTTTGTTTGCAATTCAATGGATATTATATAATAAGAATAATAATAATAATAATACTAATAATAACAATAATAAAAGAGTAAGAACAATCAACAAAAGAAAATGCTTGGAAAATAAGCTAAGAATAAGAATAACAATGTAAATACTTCAAAATAGATGCGTGCAGATCTGCCGCGAACCAGGGTAGCAAAAAATGAATAATAATAAAAAAATAATAATATAGAACTGAAAAACCTGCTACACTGGCGCCTTTAAGGGCCGAATCTGAGAAGGGGTCAGAGAAACGGGCCAATAGCCATCGAGTCGGATTTTCCGACATGTTGATCACAGAGTTTTCGCACCTGTACAAATCAGTTGTTTTTGTTGTTGCCGTGGCCGCTTATTTTTGGTTCATTGCCAAATTATCTAACAACAAAAACAGCACTTCTAAATAAAAAAAAAAAAAAAAAAAGAATATAGAAATCTTCATTGGGCAGCGTTCATGCGTGCGAGCAAATAATTTTTTATGCACGTTCTCAAGAATTTATATAGTTGGTTTTTTTTCTCTGCACACCCTGTACCCAAATACCTGAAACGGGTATAGCAAATGCAATGAATCAATGCTAAATTACAACCTGATCAAAATGTTAATACTGCGTACAGGGTATCGGCTAGTCGTACCCGGTCTACTGTGGCATGCCTACTTGTTGTATTTTGCTTGTTTATTGCAGCTCTGGGCTGTTGCAACTAATTACATTATGCTTAGACCTCAAAATACGACACGACACAAACACCTGGCGAACAGCCAAAGAGCAATCAGGAGTTTAAAAGTTGCTCAGGTCCAGTCTAGATCTCTGAGGGAAGACACTTACTTCTGTGGCAAAACAACTAACAAAACTGTTTATCCTGGCTGACTAAGTGACTGACTGACTGAAAGACAGACTGACGGACTGAATGCTGATCAGCGCACAGCCCAAACTATAAAAGCTAGGAAGCTGTAGTTACCTTTTGAGAAATTCCACCCGCATGTGTGGAAAAATCGGAAAAAAACGTTTTTATGAAACTTTTTTGTTTACCATCCGATCGGCCTCAAACTCATTTTAAAAGATCTCTGTTGAAATTAATTTGAGGGGTGTTTCACACTTCTCGAAAAATGCGTTCCTCTATTGTGGAAATCGGGGTCAAAGATTTGTTGGGCGAAGTTATAAGTTTGCATATATATGTTTGCACGTATGAACATACATGTATGCATGTTTGTTTTGTATATATGCAAGCATACGTACATGCATACATAAATGCATACATATAGACATGCATGCATACACACATGCATAATTAAATACGTACATGCATATATGTACATGCATACATGCATACATGCATACATGCTTGCATACATGCTTGCATGCATACAAACATACATAAATGCATGCTTACCCTAACATACACCCACATACATGCTTGCATACATGCATGCATGCATACATGCATACACATACATATATAATATTTATATGTCTTCGTTCAAAATACTTGTGTTTATCCATATATATATTTTTAAATTATTTCTTGTTTCATTATTTTGTGACGTCACGTCTGGGCCGTTGCCAGTTGTTGTCATTTTTAATGTTTCATTATTTCGCGTAGATTTATGTCGAATGAATGGCTGGCTAATTCGCCAGCCTATATATCATATCAGCACAGAAATATGCGAGGCACTTTCAAGACTTAATTGTTACAATTATAAATTTGATTTGTTCTTGCATACCTTGATAGCCCTTAGCTTGCATCCGATGTAAAATATTAACTGAGCCAATGATGATGATATGCGGGATTCATTAGGATACAATAGGCATTGTTAGCAAGTTTCTCCTAAAAATAAAATTTAAAAAAGTTAAATATGAATTGAAGTATTACTCTTGTCGTGCTCACCTCTTCTGCATTTGATGGTTGCCAAGAGCACAATTCTAATGGCTTTTGAATTTTGATATTGCGAACCTGACGTAATACATCTAAGACATCATCTATAAACTGTGCCGACAGCTTACAGTTTGTTTGTAGGCGCTGCAGTTTTTTGCAAGATCTAAGAACATTTAGGCATTCGTTGCCCCAAGGTCCATTACGCAGCAAGAAGTAGAGACTTTCCAGTTCAGTTAGATTGGCCAAGAGATCAATGCAGCTTGCATCTTCGAATGAACAGCGCAGTTCTTTTAGGAATTTCAATTCAATTAGTTTAGTGGTAACTTCAAAGTTAATTCTCGGGTACAATATCAAGCTTTCTAATTGGGTTTTTTGCTGTTGAGCGACAAATGCGCTGAAAAACTCCATAAGCTTGGCCCAAGGGGGCGACGTTGAACTACCGGAATATATGACAACTTTTCTTATATGGGGCAGCTCCGCAAGTCCAGCATATGATGAACAACTAATTGGAAAGCAAATTTCTTCCAAGTTCTGGCAATGCGGCACAATTCCGTTGAGCTCTCCATTGCCCATACTGATGTTTAAAATACGCAGATTTGCATTCGATTTGCATATGGCAACAAGATCCTTCACAGCTATTCCATAAAATAATTTAAGCTCTTTTAAGCAATTAAACCTAATTAATTTGCACACGTCGAACCTAATAATAACAGACATTAAAGCATGACCAAGAGAATAATTTACATTTCAAGTCTCACCTTTGTGTACCACAGCTAAAAATAAGGCTTTTTAATTTTGGTAAATTCGTCAGGGCACTCAATACTTTGTCTATAACTCCGAATTGCCATACATCGTCATTTCCTACGTACAAGCTAAAGTATTCCAGGCTATCCATGCTCTTCACATGATTACAAAATCTATTCACAGGAAAAGCTACCTGTAGTGGGGAAGTCAAGTATTATATCATCCTATTTGATGCAGGCGTTAAATATAGTTAAATAACTATCTTATGCCTTAACTAACACTCACTGGTTGTCCAATAACGAACTTCATTCTTCGAATGGCGCCAGAAACTGTGAAAAACAGTTTTAACTCCCATTCAATTTCATGCAAACCGTAACATTTCTTGATCTCGAACTCTGGGTAGAGCACATTAATCCACTCTCCTAAGATCTCACGGAAGCGCGAGCAGGTTTCTCCAAAATTAACATGATCTTCAATGTCCAGATATTTAAGTATGCAACCAAGACAATCGTCATTTAAATCCATTATATTCAACAGTTTCGATTCCATATTATACGTCTTATAGTCTTACAGCTTCTTATAGCTCCTACAGCTCTGTTACAACTGCTGTGTTTCTCAGCAATACGCGAACATTTTCCTTAATCTGCTTGTTAAAGTTATATAAATATGTTTCCCGTGTTTTTATTGATATTAGATAAAGCACTGCCATATTTGGCATTGAGTAGTCCTTATCTATTCCATGATTAGATTGAAAGTCTCCAGGGCAGTGGACGTAGATACTCTGAGTGATTCACTATAGAACAGTATGCATTGTCAACCAGTTTCTCCTAAAATTAAAGGTAATAAATAATTGTTTGTCAGTAGTTTACCGATAGTCTCACCTCTCCTTCCTCGCACAGATGCATAACACCTGTGGAATACAATTGTAATGGCTTTTGCTTTTCGGTATTGCGAACTTTTCGCAATACTTCCAGCGCCTTATCTACAAAGTCTGTCGACAGATTAGAGTTTATGTGCAGACGCTGCAGTATTTTGCAAGATTTGAGAACATTTAAGCATTCCTTGGAGCCAGCTCCAGAGCGGCCCAGCATAATGTAAAGACCTTCCAGTTCAGTTAGATCGGTCAAGAGATCAATGCAGCTTGCATCTTCGAATGAACAGCGCAGTTCTTTTAAGAATTTTAATTCGATTAGTTTGGTGGTCTCTTCAAAGTTCAAACTTGAGAGCAATATCAAGCTTTGTAATTGGGTGTTTTGCCGTTGAGCTGCAAATGCGCTGAAGAGCTCAATAAGCTTAGCGCAAGGCGAAGTTGAATTTGTGGATTTTATGACTATTTTCTTTATGTTCGGCAGCTCCGCAAGTCCAGCGTATGTTGTGTGACTGCTGAACATTGGAAAAACAATTTCTTCCAGGTTCTGGCAATGCGGCACAATATCGTTTAGCTCGCCGACAACCTCGCGTAACCACAAAACACGCAGATTCGCATTCGATTTGCATATCTCAACAAGATCCTCTGCAGCTATTTTGGTATTTAATGAAAGCTCTTGCAGGCATTTCATCTGAATCAAGCAGCTCGCGTCGTAACTAAAAATAAATAACAGATATTAAAACATGACTAAGCGAATAATTTGCAGGGAAATTCTTACCTGTTGGCTCCACACGTTACACTAATGCTCTTCAATTTCGGCAAGTGCTCCAGGGCCTTAAATGTTTTCTCTATTATTCGGTCACGCACAGAATTCGCTGTTTTAAACATTCGCCCCAGGCCGGTTCCTTCGTTGATGATGAAGCATTCCAAGCTGTCCATGCTCTGGACATGATTGCAGAATTGATCGACAGGAAAGCCGCCTTGTAATGTGCTTTCCCCAATATCCAGAAACAGTTTTTTAACGACATCACAAACAATGAAGAAGAGTTTTAATTGCAATTTGATGTCTTCACTTCGTCTTATCTCAAACACTGGATAGAGTACGTAGGACCAGTCTCTTAAGGCCTCCCGAAAACGTGTGCAGGCTTGTCCAAAATTAACATGATCTTCGATTTCCAGATACTTTAGAATGCGGCCAAGACAATAATCATTTAAATCCAATATATTTAACTGATGTGCTGCCATTTTTATGAGGCTTACGGGTGCAGGTTATAGCTTCTACAACTCTGCTGCAACTGCTGTACATAGATATCACTAAGTAATATGATGACCGATACGCGCACACAAAATATAATTATTAACCATATATGGGTAAATGACTAATAGACAAGATAACATTTTGCACAACTAATCCCGAAACACACGCGGTCAGCAATTTTGTTGAGAATCAGCTGATTTTGAGCTGTGCTGTCCAACACTTATCGTATCGTAACTACACGTATCGGCACAACACAACACTAGGATCATGCGATATATCGATAAAACAAGATCGATAGGCCAATCGTAGTTAATGGCGCCTAATAACAGCGTAGCTCTAAAATGTAACTGAATTTTGAATTAGAAATAATCGAAAATAGTCGAAAATACAATTGAAGTTAAAGAGACTTTGTTCTGTATGGCATAATTGGTGTAATTTCTCTGCGTAATTGATAAACATTCAATTACGTAGTTAATCACAAGCTTCAGCAGCTCAGCATTAACCTCATTTGACATTTAGACAAATGCCCAAAAGTTTCTGTCACAAATGAAATGCATTCCGTATAGCAAGAACGCATGAAATATACACATCGAAATGCCTCGGAAATATCACTTACGAGAGTCATTCAAAATAATTGCATAATGAATAGGCAAGCCGGATGCGACTTTGGGTGTTTCGGTGCTGGGGACTGGGACGGACGACGTCTACTGCATGGGGTCTGCGTGCGGTTAATCAGGTCGATTAATCTAGGCAAGTTTAGTGTACGAGCACGGACACGAGCACGGGCAGGGGTATGGGCAGGGGCACGGGCAGGGGCACTCATTCTTATTGCTGTTGCTTGTTGATGATAATGTTAATTTACACGAGGCAGAAAGTCAGCAACATGAAAATGGGAACAGGTCCCTGGCAAAGGTCTGCAATTAATTTACTTTGGCAGGACATGCAAGGAGCACACGCTGCGACTGCGAGTGAATGACTTGTGTCCTGTCGTTTTGCTTAGCTGGCGTTGCCTTATTACCACTGCGCCATTGTCATCTGACTGCCTTTGCCTAACGGCTAGCCCCGCATGACAATTCTGCAAGCGACTTTTAATTGGCACCGGGAATTTGCCAGGCGAATGACAAACAAACAAGCCAACCGACATCCCGTAGTGTGCGTCACAGTTGGAGATTTTTGATTGACATGCGGTAAGTGCAGGCGTAAATATACTTGTCCTATATAGACATGGTAACTGGTCTATATTTAATATTCAGTCTGTATATAGTATATACACATATATATATTTGAGAACTTTTGCCTAGTCAAGCGAACGGAAGTGTCTGACATTGCGAAACGCCAGCATTTGCCTTTATTAAAATGTATTTTTGATCATTAAGTGAATAATCAGAATGCAGTGCCTTATAAATAGATCACATAATTGCCCAGGTGTGCAGCAATAATATACGAAAAAAAAGTTACGAAAAAAGAATATTGCATTAAAAAGGGAACTCAAGAATTTACATTTCATTTGGAATTTTGCAAGTAAATTTTGCAAAAAAAAAAATACGCTGATAGAGGGCTGCCATTTAGAGGCCCATAAAAGGCAACTGCCGCATACGCGAGGCTAAACAGCCGTAAAATATATGCAACCACCTCAAGCCAAGCACACGCACCCCTCACACACACCCACACACACACCCACACACCCCTCACACACCCTTACAGCGCGCACGCACGCACAGCAAAGACAATTAGTGAAAGCCAAGCGCACGTTTGCCTTTAGCTGGCACTCTACAGACGAGGGGGAGGGGCTTGGCAAGACACCCACCCCCCCCCACCCCCTTCTCAACCTACTCCTCCTCCTCTAGCTGTGCCTCCGCCCTGCCAGCGTTCTGGCCCACTTCGTGACTTTGAGCGCTTGATGTGAGTATGTTTGGCTTCCTTTTTGGCTTTTTACCATTCAGCTTTGGCCCGAACTGCCTTTTCACACATGAGCAAGGCAGCAGCATTTTTTTTTTATTTGCCAGCTCTTTGTTTGTTCAAAATGAAATAAGGTGCGGCAGCGCCCATAAAGCCAAATTAAATATATAAAAAAAACCCCCCCCAGAAGGATGAAGAAGAAGCGTACCCATTGCATACAGGTAAAGCGCACGTCTTTTACCTGGGATTTAATTTGCATGAGCATGTTTTCAAAATGAAAACGCAAATGTTTCACAAATGTTGTGTGTAATTCGCTATTAAGGTCTGCCTTTTCTCAGATGGAGTTTATTTCTGAGACCTAATTAAATGCATCATTTCGGGCCACGACGATGACAAAGGCTTTGAAATTTGATTGCGGATTTGCTTACAGCTGACAGCACTTTCCAGCAGGATATGGAAAAGGGCCACAAAATAATTTTCAAATATATTTTACTGGGCATTTATTTCAGGACTGCTGCTCTGGTATTTATATCAAGGCTACAAAGCCGCATCGGATCGAGGCTCAAATTTCAATGTTATTTTTAACATGATCACAATTCTGAACTAAATAATTTTGCAAAACAAATTTGGTTTAATACAAAAAAAAAAAATTTATATTTATTTATATATTTTTTTGTATATTTTATTTAAAATTGCAAGAAATGAGATAAAAGAAGGCCTGAACTAATTGATCCAAAGGTTTACTTGATATTTAGAATGAATAGATTTTCTTTAAAATTGAAAGAACGAAGAAGAACAAAGGCTTCAAAATGAGCTGGCTTCTGTTCTGAATCAGTATACCAAAAGAGAGGAGTACCTAAACCTGATAACCTGATAAACCAAGGCTCGAGCCACAATCAGAACTCATGAATGTGTTGAACCAGCTGGACGAACCTCAGCCTAAGACGAGTCATTGGTTCCAATTGTGAACCGAACCAGTTAAATGGAACCATTTTTCATATACTAATTGATATTTATTTGAATAATTCCTTGAAAGTGTAAAACCAAATGTTATTCAAACAAATTGAACCTGAAGGTCATATTCTGATAACTTGACGTGACTTGAGCAGAGAGTCTCTTAAGTGGCAGCATTTGAGCAATTAGCTTTTTGGCCAAAATGGGCCTACCAACTATTATTGAGCTAATGTTCATATATTAACGGCCTTGCGAGCCAGCACACACGCCATTGCCACATCGTAGCCGTTGAGCTGTGGACCATGTCAAGTTTGGGAGCTGACTTAAATTAATGAATGCGAGGCAACACGCAGCACGCACCACGCACCCACCAAGTGGTGCAGCTTTAATATGTATTGGAGAAAATGCCTCTAATCGAATTAGTGAAATTAATTTTTGATGATATTGAAATTAGTTGCAGACACCACAAAAGTCAGGCAGCAAATTTCATGGCACAACCACAGCAGGGGGTTTGCTCGAGCCTGGGGTAAATAGAAAATACTTTTAGTTTGCCAAGGCATTCCGTATTTCGCAGAGCGTGGGGCATGGGTGCATAAATTTACTTTGACAGTGGCAAGCGGCACGTTTGACATTCCACTTTGGGCACCGAGTTCAACCCACACTTCGATATTTTTTGTTTGGCCTGTCGATTTTCATTGTATTGCGGCTGCAATGCCACATGAATGCTGGCATCCAGCTACATTATTAATGACTGTTCGACATGTGTGTCAGGTTCGCTAAGAGTTTTGTTGAAAAGCAATTTTATTTACTTTTTCGATTTGTGTGCTTATAAATTACGTTTGATATGTGTCATGTTATTATTTATTGTGTGCTCGAAATTAAATGCCAAAATATCTTAAATATTTAATGGCAGCTCAAGAGAGAGAGACACACCCACGCGAGTTAAAGTCGGCGCCATTTGCCCTGCCCAGAATGTCCTTGTCCTTGGCATCAGCGCAGACAGCTATTAAAGTGAGATGGGCTTAGTTTGCCAGAGAGAGAGCGCAAGTGTTTGCATGTCAGCAAGTAATAAGCACAAGGGCCATAATAGTTTTTGCCAGTTATTCCCTTATATATATATAGATATTTGCAGCCGCGATTATTTGGCTGGCGGCGCCCATGGAGCCCAGACATGGTCGCCTGCACTTCTGGCTTTCAGAGCAACGTCTTCCAGTCGTGCCATAAATGTTGGACATTAACGGGTAATTTTCTTGCAATTTTGTAGTCGTTAGCGTTTTGTGGCAAGGACGACGACGGCGAGGACAACAAGAAATGCCAAAAATTTCATTTTCGCCACATTTTTTGAGGCCGCATAAATTTTGCAGCTAATCAACGCGACGTGCAAATTTTCGCGCACACCAAAATTTTCAACACTTTAAAATGTGTTTGGCGCAAAAGAAAAAAAAATGGGGTAACATTTGAAAAACTGTAGCCAAAGCAGTGCAAATTGAAATGGAAATCCATTAGCGCCGGACAAATTTGTAATTTCCGCTCTTTGCACACACACACACCCAAGCACACACACACGCAACGCTGTCAAAGGGAAACGGAAATAAAAAAACACACGCACAACTGGACACACTCTGTATGTGTGTGTGTGTGCGTGTGTGTGTCCACTTTTGAGGTGTGTTCGGTCAGGTAATTTCATTTACCTTACTCATTTAGCACTTTTTTTCTTCATACCAACTAGCTAGTGGGCGGGGTGAAGGGGGCGTGGGTCGGTCATTTTCCGGCTGTTTGCATGATAAAAATCACATACACACTCCTTGAATTTCAGCAGCACGCGATGTTGAATGATTATCCTTGAACCAAAAAGCAAAAAAAAGGTAAAAAAAAACTTGAGCCTGGAATTTGTCTGTTCGTGTTTATTTCGTCGTTGGAGCACCCATGAAAATGCTGGGTCTGTCCTTTGACTTTTGCTACACGCCAAAAAGGAGGAAAAAAAATAGCCTCATAAATTTGTACTTCGTTGTCTGCTTGGACGGCTTTTAATTTGGCTTGCACATGCAAGCATCCTCGACATTAGCTTTAAACTGGACACAGGACACTCTGCCCCGGCCTGGTCACCAGGACACACTCTCCGGGCTGGGCGCATGTGTGAGCTTTTAATCAAATTCCATAAATGAACAGACAACAACTGGCAATCAAAATCAACGCCCTAAAATATGCTCACCAACTCAAATTGAACGGGGTGGCATAAATTTTTAAAGTTACCATCACACACTATGCACACAGTCGAGGGTTGCCACAAACCTAATCGAGAACGAGGAAGGTTGCTGGTTCAAAGTCGAAACAAATTTTATATGAGATTAGTGTAAAAAAAAAAAAAGTGAATATTTGTTACAAATAAAGGATATGCAATAATTATAACCTATAGCGTTTTTATACTAGGCTGAGATTCGAGCCAGCTGATTAATAGTATAAGCTAAAAGCTCAACGAAACGGTAAGCTTGCTGTAAAGCTTTTGTTTTGAACTATGAAACTAAGTATTAAGTCTGAAAAGCTACTTAAAGCTCAACAACGGTGAAAGCTCATGGCAAAGCTTTCACTTAATCTATGGAATTCAAGGCTAAGTCTGAAAAGGCACTTAAAGCTCAGTAAATCTGAAAGCTCTCCGCAAAGCCTTAACTTCATCTATGGTACTCAGGGAAAGATACTTAAAAAGTCATGTAAGCTGCCCTCGTTTTATTCGTTTCCACACACACCTAGGGCCCCATTTTTTTTTTTTTTTGGCCACTTGGGTGTGTCAAAAATCAACGCCAGTTAAAACGTGTGCCATCTGGCTGCCAGCACAGCCGAGTCCATCCTGTGGCTGTGCCCCCTGAACATTGTTTAATTTACATTTATCCGCACGCTTAGCCTACCGGGCAAGTTTATATGCAGGTGTCTGTGTGTGTGAGAGTGTTAAGGTCCCTCAGGTGCACACACACACATACAGATACACACGCACACAGGAAGAGGAAGCAACTGACACCGTAGAAAATGTTAAACACTTGGCAACATTTTGCTTAAAACTTTTGCCACAACTCCACTCACTGCAGCAGGCTTTGCTTTCTATTTGCGGTTGCAGCACACACAGCACACAAAAAGTCACAGTGCAGTTAAACCAACAGCAGTAGCAGCAGGAGTAACAGTAGCAGTACCAGTAGCAGTAGCAGTGGGAGCAACAGCAACAACAATGAAAAAGGTAAACGAGCAAACAAAAGGCACGCCCGGAAATGGCAAAGCTGCTTGACTATAACAACCCAGGCCAGGCCCAAAGCACCCCAGACCCCAAACCGAAACCAAACAAGCATCCAAGCAGCTGGCGGAGCAGCAGCCGCCACTTGGCCACTCATTGTTGGTCGCCTGGTCGCCTGGTCGCCATGGTGAATCCTCAGGTGTTTTGCGCACAGTTTACTACGTTTTTCATTTAACCCAGCGACCGGTTGCAGGTTCAGCTCGTTTGTTCTGGTTGTCCTCGTTGTTCATGTTGTCCTCTGGTTGTGCCTGGCGCTTTGTTGTTTGTTTGGTTTGCGGTCGCCAACAGCCCGACGAGCCAGCCAAATGGCCAGCGAAGGATGCAGTCGTCTTGTTGCTCCGACATAATTAAAAATTCACATAAATTTAGCTTAGCGTTGACACACACACATTCTAATTGGGTTAATTATGTGTTGCCTGGACTTTAAAAATGTCAGCCACCATGCGAGTGTGTGTGTGCGTGTGTGTGTGTGTCAGCTGCTGGACGAGTGCCAGTTCCGAGTCCCGAGTACATTAACAACAAATTATGTTGTCGCACATGTGACAGCGGCGTCTGCGTCTCTGGGGCAGCCACAGCACAAAAAATATATATATGTGTATAGACACAAATAACACGCTAAATTAAAAATATACAAAATTACAGGTAAAAATTGTATTTAATAGCCAGCGGCTCTTAGAATGTATATTTTGCGTTTCATCTTTGGCCAATTAGGAGTGTATATAATATTCAAATAGAACGCAGCAAAGAAAGCAAAAGCTTTAAATACATTGTGTATTTTCCAAGCCAACAATTTTTGCTGGTTCAAACCGCGGTTCGAACCAATGTCGCGCCTTAAGTTTTTATTTTGGTAAACCTTGCACCAAGAAAAAACAGGGCATGGGTTCAAAACTCGGCTCCTCAAATTAATATAAAGTATATACTTAAGGCTAGCTGCCTTTTAGTTTAAAGGGAAATTTTCTTCCGTTCCTAGACTAAAAATAAAAAGCCGTCAAATATAGTCTGCTCTCCGAAGCAGAAAATCTTAAATATGCCACCACAAACTTGTTCAGTCTAGGACAACTCATCGACCGCAAGATTAGTTTCATTACAAAACTTGGAAATACCTGTAAATTAAAGGGCAAAACTTAAATTTTAATTTTAAATTAAATTGTTGTGCAACTTATGGCCTCTTGCTGCCCATCTTAAAAATTGAGCTTAATTACACATACGCCACGTTGACATTTGACAGGCCATGGACTCGTTTTTATGGCCAGCCTCTTGCATAATTTATGCCACAATTTTTGGGCTACCTGGCAAACGACTTAAGTAGCCAGCAAAAGGTTTTTATGGTTGCGCCTCTACGTGTGTGTGTGTGTGTGTGTGGTGCCCAAGGGGCAGCTGCTGGGGATGGGCTTGGGCAACAGATTTAGCTTAAGAGAATTATATGAAAATTGTGCTTGCTGCTTGTAATGGCGCTCATGCCTATGCCTATTAAAGCGCTCATCAAATAATAAAACATAATAATAATAATAATAATGCGGGCGTGGTGGCTGCAACTAATCCGAATGCGAAGCCAACGTTTTGTGACATTTAACGACAGCAAAAAGCGCACAAAAGCATGCAACACATAATGGCAAATGTCAACGGCAGCGCCACAAGGCGTGGCAAGGTTCGAGACGGGGTCCAAACCAAAGCGAGACAAAATTAATTACTCTACGTGGAAATGTAATTACGAAAATATTTAGCCCAAGCTCAGCGGCACGTCGTGCCACCAAAAATGCCATTTGTCAAGCCGTGTGCGAGGCGGGCGTTATCCTTGGGTTAGACGACGGTCTTAATGTGCGCGTGTGTGTGTCTCCTTTGGGCATCGGCTCGATGGCACCAATAATATGCTGCAAGTTATTTATGATTAATGAGACCCGGCCAATTAATCAAATTAATCAAATTTTCATTAAACTTTGGCGCAATGCAGCAACACCTTTGCCCCCAGCTCCTCCCAGCTGGCATGACCCTGCCTGCTTAAGACACACACTCGTTCAGGTAATCCTTCCGCACACACTTGGTGCGTGCCGTATGCACATTAATTCTGCTGGCCTACAAAACTTTTGTGTGTAAAAAGTTTGTTTTATGGCCCACTTACAAGAACCACTATGCGGTTTCTCTTTATAGCGGTAATTATGCACCGCCAGGTGCGCAATTGCGTTTCTATTTAAAAACGAAAAAAAAATATGAGAGAAGGAAATGCAAATGCAGATCTACATGTAAATGAGAATGCAAATAGCGCAATCATAAAGCAGGTCATTCTCATTTCATTTAGCTGCATTATTCTTCGATATATCTTTCGACGATCTCGTTAAACTCTGCTTTCTGGCATAGTTTTTAAGGTCAAAGAGTACATTTTTCATGGAAAATAATTAACTTATGGCAAAATATATAATTATAAATTGTTGATATTTATGATGTGAAAGAATAAATAAATCAAAATTATGAAATTCTTAAATTATTGCTCATAAGCTGCTGCTGCTTTTAAAACCAAAAATTGACCACAAATAAACTCTGATATATCTATGGGCTATATTAAGGTGGGTTAACACTTGTGTATATATAAAAACATATTTATAAAAATATGGATGTGGCAGCACTCTAGTTGAAATGCTATGAATGCTATTGAGTGGTAGCACTCTAAATAACGAGCTACAATACTGTTATTATATATTATTGATAAGATTTGGTAGCACTGTTGGAGTATATTAATATATATATATCGCTAAAAATATTGCTGTGGCAGCACTGTAGTTAAAGTGCTATGACATTGATGTGGCAACACTGTAGCTAAATTACCTTGGTATTTGATGGGGCAGCACTGTAGTTAAAGTGCTACCCATTTAATTCAAATTCACATTAGGCGAAGCTAATTAAACAAGAATAAAAACTATGTTTTGAGTTTCATATAAGCTTTTCATACATTAACTTAGAATTATATTATGACATTAGAAAGTAGGCGTTTATTTTAATTCGAAGGAATTTCAACTCCATTTTAATTAACTTAATTTGCAAACAATTAGATGAATGAGTATATTAAGTAAATTCGACTTTCAAAAGACTATTAGCTCCCGATTTGCAAATTATAATTATTATATATTTTTAAGTAAATATTAGTGATGGGCTTTCGTGTATATCGAAGCCATAATCGATATCCCCACAGTTTATCTAGATAAGCACAAAGATTTTATAAAGTTATTTATCAGATTTGATTACTTTATAAAGCTGTCCATTGCTTGACAAGGACCTAAGCTGTGGCACGACTTCCTTTTGTTTTTAGATCGCAAAACAGCGCAAATTCAATAAGCGGCTATAATAAAAGGGGATGCTGTTGACAGCGACGTCTCAGTTTGGTTTACAGCGTTGACAGCACGCGGCATAAACACGGCCAATAAACGGCAGCAGCCGCTGCAGCAGCCGAGGCTTGGGGCACGTGCTGTTTGTGGGGGAGAGACGGCGGAGAGGGGGGGACTTGTGTGCCGGCAGCGTTAAACCGCAAAATTTAATTCCCTTATCAAAAAGTGACAAGCGTGCGTATTTAATGCAATTTTGCAGCGCATTTAACATGACATGTCTGGGCAGAATGGCGTGAGGGGGCGGGGGAGGGGCAGAGGTGGAAAGAACTGGCGGAAAAGCGTAGAAAAGCTGAGGCTAGCTGGCCGTCTGGCATTTGCCATTATCTAGCGGAAGTTGTTTACTTGCGAGCTGCTTTTTGTTGTTGGCTCTGGAAAACTGCAAAAACCTCAATTTGCGCTGCCGCAACTTCCTTTTACGCTAAATTACAATTCCGCTGATTGCATTCCCGGGGCCCCAGAACCACGTAATACTGAGACTGGGCAGCGCCTCAAAGCGCCGTCAGCTCATTCACATTGCTACGCGTTATTCACACTTTACGCCTAGATTTGAGCGCCATGAATCCTTTAACTGTTTTGCATATTTGTGTGCCAGCTTGGCATGCCCCCTGCCCCCTGCCCCCTACCACCACCGTTTCCTTTTGCAGCTCTGTTGGATTCGTTTCGTTTCGTTTCGTAGTTTC